ATTTCTATTCTCTTTTATTTTTAGCAATACTGGTACCTCGCTTTTGGAGTGTGGAAACTGGTCTATTATTTTTGGTGGCCGCCTCGCTAATTGGACGTTCCGTAAGTGATATTTGGATGATCCAGAATGCAACAGTAGTGGAAAGCACAATCATACATATGAACAAAGCTAAATTTAGATCGGCATTGCTAAAATATCTCGCCGCTTTGCCAATGGTGAGTAATGAGTAAATTATTCTTTACTGTTACAATAATATTGTATATTTTCTTCTTTATAGATATCTGTGGTCACGAACATCCTAAAGTGGAGCTTGGGTGAATTGAAATTGAGATTCCGAACAAATTTGACACATCATCTGTACAATCAGTACTTATGGTAATTATGCAAGTACATCGAACTGTTAACGCATTTTTGCGCTATGCCTGTTATAATTTCTCGCGGTAAAAATTTTGTTAATTTAATCAGGCATAGAGAAAAAGGTTTTACATTGCATGAAAGTCGGGCCTATGCAACCGAAATGACCAAGATTTATATCTTGCGTAGGGACTGTAACTCCAACAGCATTCCCAAAAACTCGGGGTGACTTTTATGCCGTTTCAACTACAACAAAATGCATTATGAAATGTGTAAATTTAGAAATACCATTTTTCCCCAATTTTCCAGCGGTTACACATACTACAAAATGTCAAATTTGGATAATAGAATAGCGAACGCCGATCAACTTCTTACCACTGATATCGATAAGTTCTGCGAAAGTGCCACAGACCTGTACTCGAATATCAGTAAGCCCGTGTTGGATATTTTCATCTACGTCTATCGTTTGACGGTCAATCTGGGTGGCAAGGTAAAACCGATTGATAGCCTAGACCAGCGAATGGCCATGTTTTTATGCAACCCCTTTCCTTCTTCTTCAAACTAGACACCTTCAATACTTATGCTGTATTTGCTGTTCGCTGGCATCGTTCTAACACGGTTGCGACGCCCAACTGGACGTCTTACAGTTGAGGAGCAAAAATTGGAAGGTGAATTCCGCTACGTGAATAGTCGTCTCATAACGAACTCCGAAGAGGTAGCCTTCTATCAGGGCAATACACGCGAGAAGCTAACGCTGCTGGCCAGCTATTCGAAATTGCGTGCACATCTGCGTAAATTCCTGGAATTCCGCGTTAGCATGGGCATTGTTGATAATATTGTGGGAAAATGTGAGTATAATTAGCAGCGTAGGTTAAAAAATCGATCAACTTTTTTGTTTATTTTTTTTTACTGCCATTTTAATAAAAAATTTCGTTAGATTTTGCGTCAATTGTCGGATTTTACGCTGTTTCAATTCCTTTCTTTGCCGAAAACCATCCCTTACTGTCGGGCGAAAAAAGCGGACAGCGATTGCAGGTGCGTTGAGATTTTAAGTTTTTAACTTCAGAATTGCTTAACCTACTCCAGGCACTTTTAATTTATATAATATTCGTGTAATATGCATATTTTGCACGAGTTACTTTCAGTCTTTATTATATCCTGCAAACTCTTTATTGCCGCTTTATTAGTCTTAAAAATCGTAATTTATTTAAATATACGTTATTCTTCTTGTTTCCCAGGCTTACTACACTTACGGCCGCATGCTGGTAAAGTTAGCTGAGGCTATTGGCCGTTTGGTTTTAGCTGGACGTGAAATGTCTCGCTTAGCTGGTGAGTTGTTTTACTCCTGCTAATTAACTGCTTTGCGGCATTTCTAACTGCTTATTACACCCCGATTTCTCCTCAAGGTTTTACGGCGCGCATGACCGAACTAATCAAAGTTTTGAGTGATCTAAACAAAGGACGTTACGAACGCACAATGGTGAATAACATCGTAAATGGTGATAATGGTTTTGGGCCAAATAAAGGTGTTATGACCTTCGTTGATAATATCATCAGGTTCGAAAAGGTGCCACTTGTTACACCCAACGGCGATCTGTTGGTTAAGGAGCTAACCTTCGAAGTTAAGTGAGTAGCATAATATACCCCAAAATATTTTTCTTCACTCAACTCAACTCCTTTTAGATCTGGCATGAATGTGCTGGTTTGCGGCCCAAATGGCTGTGGTAAGTCTAGTTTATTCCGCATACTCGGTGAGCTGTGGCCAACATGGGGTGGCAAATTGACGAAGCCGCCGCGAGGAAAGCTCTTCTACATCCCTCAGCGTCCATACATGACACTGGGCTCGTTGCGTGATCAGGTAAGAGCTGCTATGAATTTGCTATTTTAATGAACAGTAGAGGAGCTCACGATTTATAGCATTGCAGTTTAGGTGTAAAGTTGTTACGTAGCAACCTAGCATCTAAAATGCTACTCGCTCGCTTTGCGACGCGTTAAAGCCACTTTTGCGTTATTGCTGGTGGAAGTTGTGTTAGAAGTTTGTTTAGACAAACCTTAAAACTCTTTTTATAATTAAATTTCGGTTTTTGAGTGGAAAAAGTAAAAAAAATATTAAAAATGTATGTCAACTAAAGCTCTGAACCATATGGGACTTCTCCTTCTACGTTCCTACGACAGTCGGGTGTTCTACGTAACCGGATTACATCTGGCCAAGGACTATCACTCCAGCAACAATCCCCAAAAACTATTTGTGGAATTTGTATGCTGGTACAACAACAGATTTCTCCACCACTCAGAAACGGCTGGACGGATTTAGATGAAATTTGGCACGCGGATCGCATATAACTCTGAATATTATTTGGAATATTTTTAGGTTTTTGAAAAGATGGCTCCCTAGGAATATAGTAACACGGGTGAAAGAGAAAGAAAAGTTTCACTTCAGTTGGGCGTGGGATCCGCATTAGGGTGGTCCAAAAAAGTGATGCACTCACCCTCTAGGAATGCTCTATACCGAAAAAAATGTACCTGTTTTTTATATTTCAATCGAAAAATATTTAGCATCAACGCTAGCTAGCAACTTCATTTTTACTTGACCAAGATGCATACATATTAGGGATGCCAATCCGGGATCCCGGCGTTTTTGAGGTCCCGAAAATCCGTGTCTGGGACAATTTTTCCCATCAAGAATTTGCATGCAGGATTGTGGCACACGGTTGCATTTGTTTCAACATTAATTTGAATCAACAGTTCGTTAAATTGATGTAGGAAATCCGACGTGACTTCCACAAAGAAATTGAAGCGTATGTTGAAGAAAGTTAGAATAAGGACAAATATACGTATAGGTCCTGTTTTGGTTTCCACCTGAAATAATTTAAAAAATTTATTATGGTCGAAATGCAACCGTAGACGCCAATTGGCAGTGAAGCTTGCAAATGTTTGCTAAATCCTGTTCGCGCAAAACTTAGTAAGTTTCTCTCTTTGAGAGAGTAAGATACCTTATTCTCTGAATCTTGTTACTGGCTAATTCTTACTGGCATTTGCATAGCGAACAGAGCTAATGTTTCCAGCAGAAATTTGCAGCTCTCTATCACATTTTTCTCTCTCAATTTCCCCTACTTTGCAAGTTTTTTGGATACGAGAACGCAAAACCAGTAAAAGTTTTCTAAAACTTTTGATAGCTTTGGGTACGAGTACACGCCTTATGTTAGGAACACTTTCTTTTAATTATATAAATAATACAATTAAATTTTTTTCTTGCGTAGATAATCTATCCACACACACGCGATGAGATGGTACGCAGCGGCAAGAGCGACGAAGACCTAATGAAATATTTAGACATCGTACAGCTCACCTATTTGGAGCAGCGTGAGAATGGTTTGAACGCCATTGAGGATTGGATTGATGTCTTATCTGGTGGCGAGAAGCAACGAATTGCTATGGCGCGTCTCTTCTACCACAGTCCACAATTTGCCATTCTCGATGAATGCACGAGCGCGGTTTCAGTCGATGTAGAGGGTCAAATGTACAGTTATTGCCGCGAGGCGGGCATTACGTTATTCACAGTGTCACATCGCAAATCGCTGTGGACGCATCACGACTACTATTTGCAGTTCGATGGACGTGGTAGCTACGAATTCGGTCCAATTGATCAAGCGAAAGAGCAGTTTGGCTCGTAAAAATTTAAAATAAGCAAGGACAAATACTACATTAATTTATGTAGATAAAATACATAGTAACAATAAAGTCAATCAGTAAAAATGGTAGCATCGCCAGCGTCACCTATGTACACCTACATAAATAAACTGTTCATGTGGGAACAAATAGTATTGCCGAAATGATTCCATTTGTACGATAAATTTTGTTTGTATTGTATGATTTGAGGGCTATAAGCGCATACTTAAGCACTTTTTGTGGTTGTATGTGCTTGAATCGGTTCGGAAATCGAAAGAACATGTTGTTATAAAGTTTTAAATACATTTTATTGTTAGGTGTCTAGGTGCGAAAATGAAAACTTTTTTTAGTATATTAAATGGTGATCTTTTATAGCTTAAACTATTACTTTATTTTACTTTAATTGCTTTATAATAACATTTCGTTTTTGCTTAAATAATATTTGATTGCCTAAGTTGTGTGTATGTATTTGTAAATCGGTGCTGGAGGCAAAACTGCAGATGCGGGAATAATGTACTGCAACATATTTTATTGTGTTTGTTTATTTTTTAGTTAACTATTATTTAATTCAGTTCTTAAGCTTATTTTCAAAGGGTAGTCATGTTAACTCGTAAACCTCTCGCATATTTTCACATTTGATATCAATCGATCTTTTTCTCTAGACAAAAGAATTTTGAATTAAATACATATTTAAATTTCTTATATAGAATTTGATAACCGCCTTTTGGATCTGCGCAGAGTATATTAGTTTTTATGCATACCCTAACAGAGTAAATACATGTGTATTTAAATTTGCTTTTGAAAACCGCTATCAAATTTTAAACCATAAATTATGCAACAACAGAGAAGAAAATACATATTATTGTACATATATAGCTCTTCTTGTATGCATACATGTATGTACATACATATATATACAAAAATCAATTTGTGTAAGCCATAAAACGATAAATAAAAGAAATTTTATGAAAAATTTTAGTTGTAATAACTTTTATTAATTAATTTTTTCCAGGAAATATCCCATGTGCTCTGCGATCAATACCAATCAATAAATATAAACTAGAGTGCCAGCCACTGTCGAAATTCGACCGTACTTCTAGTTTTTTAACACCCTTGGAAAGGTTTTCTAACTTAGCCCGTCGTTTAACTTATAATGTGCAAAATTACTTGCCGAAAAATCTCCTGCTTTCGAACTAAACCTTAACTTGAATTTTTTAAATCTTTGAAGGTCGTAGGCAGGACTTGGAATATAACAGATAAATTCCAGTTTGTCGATAAATTTCGATAATTTGATACATATCGGTAATTCAATGAATTTCAAAAACACTAAAGTCCCTAAACACAACAATAAATATTGATAACTTGATAAATTTCATTAACTTGACAAATTTCGCTAACCCATACGTTTTTTATAGCTCGATATCTATCCGCAAATTTCGACAACTAATTTTCTGTGTCTACAAATTTCGACAACTCAATTAACATTGGTCAATTTCAATAATTTTACACGTTGTTATAACTCAATAAATATGGACAACTCGATAAATTTCGATATCTATAACTTCGATGACTCGATAAATTTCGGTAATTTGATAATTTTCGATAACAAAATTTTTTATAGCAGAATTTATTTCAATTCCTATCGAAAAAATAAGTGCACCTGAACCATATTGAAGAAGTGGAAGTTACGTTACTTATTTAGAAGTTGTCAATAAAACCACAGGGTAGTTAATATAATTTTATAAGCTCAAGGTTATATCTTATCTTTTTTCTAACCTTATCCCAACCCAGACCCGTCGAGAGGGTAGGAATGGGGGAATCCTCCTCGGGTCCGGGCTTTCTAAGGGGCCTGAAATATCAGAGCCATAGCTTGTTATTAGTATTTTAAAATTTAATTTTGAAAGAAAACAATGCGCATGCTTTCAGTAACCACGTTAATCAATACAGAAACAAATATTTTTCCATGTAATGCGATTTCATTTGATGTCAAATCATGTGATGTCATGTTATATGATGTTATATCATGTGAAGTCATGTCATACCGTATGATGTCATATAATATGATGTCATATCATGCGATGTCATGTCATGTGATATCGTATTATGTGATATCATATTATGTGAAGTTATGTCATGTGATGCAATATCATATCATGTGATATAATGTGATGCGCTATCATATAAGGTGATCACATGTCATGTGTCGAATATCAAATCGATAACGCTGTCGATAACTTTGTCGATAAATATACCATATACCATAAATAATAATATCGATTATTACACCGATAACAATATTTATAACGTTATCGATAACAATATCGATTATTTTATCGATAACAATATCGGTTGTATTGACAGAAGTATCCATTATTGTATCGATAACAACATCGATTATTATATCCATGGCAATATTGATTATTATATCAATAGCAATATCAATCTTCATCCTCATATTTTTCTTCATATTTATCTTTATTTTTGCATATTCCAGTTCACCTTTACCTTATAGTGTTCAAATTAACCTTGATCGTCGTTTTATCCTTTATCTTTCCGAATATTTGTTTTTGTTTTTATTTTTACATTTACCTTTAACCTTTTCTTCGTCTATGTACGTACTGTCCTTTACTTTCCTTCCTGTATTGGGCTTAATCTCAGTCTTATTCTTAAACCCCTTATTAGCACTTTTTTGTTTTATAGCGAGGTTTTAGTGATTTATTTTTAGAATTAAATATAAAACGGAAGGTAATTAAAATACTCGTATTATATTGTGTAATGCACATAGAGAATCTATTTGTTTATGCAATTACTTTCATCATTATTTAGTACGATTAGCTGCATATTTCGGGATGGTCACGTGCATGGTAACTTCACAAAGGTGTTGTTTGTTTGTTCCAACCACTTTTCTGCCTCGGGACGCATGTGCCCAATCTAAGCGAAACGCAGCACCACCGCAGTAGTGCGAGTAGTTTACATATCTATGTATCTATAAACTATAACAAGGAGCTCTAAGAATTAGGAAATTTTTCCACCCGCTTCATGACTACACATGTGTTATCACAATAAGTTTATGCTTCTATGGTGACTTTCATTGACGGTAAGCATTCCTTTGTTCATATTTCCACTAAAGAGGATCCAAATTAAAGCAACATCCAAATATCTAAATTTCCAGATATAATAATATTTCATGTAACACTGCAGATAATGCCAAATGTTTTAGCGGTAAGGTAATTTAAGGTATTTTAAATCAATACACACTTATTAACAGCTCTACTAATACGATTAAATATGTAAATTTACCTTGTGTGTTATTATTTTTCAATGCACACAACATTCCTTTAAAAAATATTAAAATTTCCATAACAATACTTGAGCAATTTATGAAAAGTATAACCGTCATAAGCACAGTTTATTTCAAGTGAAACTACCTTCTTTTTTGTCTCATGATTGCTAGCACGTTAATTGAAAAATAAAATAAAAAATATAATTTTACATGAATGAACTTCCAAGATTTGCTTCTTTCTTAATGTTCAAAACTTCAAGGGGTAAAAATCGTCCGAACACCTGTTAAGAAGATAGAAAACCGACAGAATTTTTATTTTTTATTTTTTGATTTTGTGAAATGAGTTAATATCGCTTTGATAACTTCCAATAGTGACGACGAAGTGACATCCAGCGTTGCCGAAAGCTTTTGCTGAAAAAGCGTCAATTTACCCTAAAAAAATTAATTTCGGCCAAAGAAACGTATCGAGCCCTAACCGCCAAAATAACGTAATCGCCATTTTTTTTTAATTTTCTTTTTAATGCAGAAATGCATCTAGATGCTCAAGGAATATTTCTGCATCAAAAAGAAAATTTTGAAAAAATTATAGCTGACGTTATTTTGGCGGTTAGGGCTCGGTATAATGTTTCTTTATTTTTACAAAATAAAAAAATACAAACAAAATTACATAAATTACGAACCGACATTGCATATGGGTTAATAAAATGGGATTTGTAATTGTTAACGACATATTACAATTTAATACACAACTGCTTTTAAATTGTTCTACTCCACTGTTTTGAAGTTTTTGAAGATTTTGATCCAGTTTTAAAGTGTAAAATTTGCATTTATTAACTGATAGATGATTTTGACTGAACAAATTCCTGCTATTTTTCTGCCTTTTCAAGTCAGTGTCAACAGTGCAAATTAACGGTTTGGTTAAAATTCTAGAACTAATTTAATATAACTAAACGGTTGTAGAACAAAACTAAATAAATGCCTGGTTGTATTTTGGATTACATACCGTCGTTTAAAGTAAAAAACTCCGTATCGTCATTCTGCAAAACCGCGTAACTGACATTTGCTGCCAAAAATGGGATTTATTCACACAAGCTCTTGGCTCAATCCTTATCCATTCGTCCTGAAATATATTAGCCAGAAATACGACTGCTTTATAAAAAAGAGAAAAATTTTGAAATATGAGTGTTTTTACTCTCTACAAAATAATTTATGCAACCTCACATGCAGTTTGTTGTGCCTTAAACGACGATATGTATGTAATTAGGTGGAAAAGTTGTGGTTGTGAAAGCCCATGATTCAATAATAAAAGGTTTGCTCAAAAAACAGTTTTCTCGCTTCCTCTTGACAAATTCGGTTCCTTTAGCAAGGCACTGTGTGTGTGTGTGTGTGCAAAGCTTTTGGAAGGGAGTGTCAAAACTCGAATGTCAATAAAGAGCAAACCTTTAATTATTGAATCATGGTGAAAGCCTACATTCTGAGCTTTCCAAAACGTATTTATAAAATTATATGCAATTAGTAGTTCCGAAGATATACTGGATTAAGTAAAGAAACCTCCAAAGTACTACTTTTAACCCTGTACCGCACACGTGGAGCGTAATAGACCCCCCCTCTCCCGAACCATTATGTAGTCATTTTAAGGCGTTCTATAGTTTAAGCCCATAAAATACTTTTTTCCGGCGAACTTGTTTGAGTCCCGCCACTTGCGCCATCTGCTGATTGTAAAAAAAAGAACCAAGTATTTTTACACATGCATTTTCGTTTATTTATACTTTAAATATATTCAGCGAAATAAATGTATACAACTTTTGTATATTTTTGTTATATTTATTTAGGGCCGCTAACTTGTCTGTTAGTATAGTCAAATCCTTAATTAAACTTAACTAC